CCGTTCACAGCGAATCGAGAAACCTCTGTCCAGTCTCCTCTTAGAAATCACCATACCCCCATCGCTCGCCAGTATCATACTCGATACCAATGTCGGGGAGCCATGGATTGACGCCATAACGGACTTTGAGAGACGGCTGAACACTTCCAAAGCGCGGACGCGTGTAAAGGCTGCCCGTGATCTAGGGGAAGTGGCAGAGGGGCTGAGGATAGTGGTGAGCAAAGCGCTTTTGTGGTGTAGACACACCCATAATCATTTACCCCCAGGCAGCGACCAAACTACGCGCGTTCTTCCTAGCTTTATTCCAGCCCATCCGGGGGAGTGTCACGACCAATATGCAGGTCATCCAGACATCGGTGCTCTTGAAATATGGCTCTTTGTTCGCATTTCTGAAGCGTCAGGCACCGGCTGTTTCGACAGAACTGCAACGTGCTTATGTCGGTGCTGCCCGGCTTTACTACGAAACGGGATTCCGACGCTATGCTCGAAGTTTGGGGGTTATCAAAGTATGGTCTTAGCACCTTTTTCTAATGCTCAAACTTTCTCATGAATGTCTATAGGCGCGATCTCTGGATAAATTTGAAACGTTGACGACTATGCAATCGGAAGCAACTATGAAACTAGAGCGATTACAATATGCGAAGATTAACGGGCCTGGCGTCACTCTTGCTTACATGGCAGATGACAAAACACATGTAAGGCGTTGCCATTTTGATAATTCTCGTCTCAAGCTTCCTCTAGAAAGACCCCATAGAAGCGTTGGTTAGATCGCTTCTTTTAGTCTTTGTGGATAATGCAACTGCTGAATACTCATTCCTATCAACCTTCTTCAACGCCCGCCCCACGCTAGCTCCTGCGGAGCCTACAGCTCCACCCTCCGCAGTTCTGTCTCCCGACGGTGGAACATTTACAGAGCTGCTATCGCCTTCGATATCCGAATTTGGATCGAAGGCCCCCATGTCCAGCACCACTCCCGGTCTCGGAGGCTTTGTGTCCTTTGTGGCGAAATCAAAGGAAGAACAGGCTACAATCGATGTTATTTGGAAGCAAGTGATGGACCCAGTAATGGAGTATTGCACAGTACGACCAAATCAATTCATGTTGCCAATCGTCGCTGATATACGCGTTTATAGGCATTTATCCGATCCATACTTGATCCTGTTCCTCAGACCATTCCTCTTCTGACCATGATTCGCATTGCAGAGGACATTGTAGCTGAAATTCAGAAACGGCACTGCCCTCCAGCGGAGACATATGTATTCGGATTGAGTTTGCAGATGTGGCCGATATTTCAAAAGGGCATGACAGAGCACATTGAAAGTGTGAAGAAGTTGGCCGAAGGCACGAGCTCAGGATACTTTGGTCGATCTTCCACGACAACTGACACGATGGTTGAAAATGTGCGTTTTGAACTTACAAATGTCCATTAATTACCTGCTCAATCATTATCAAGATATGTGGACAATATGTCGTTTTCTTCAATTCCTTTGTGTTCCTCACAGATAGTGAGGCTGACAATATGATATTTTCAAAGTAAGAAGCGCAGATACCTCTCTCATATTACTCTAAATTCCGTGAAGCTTGCTCCGACTACGTCAAGAAATTGCGAAGCTCATTGTTCGGCACACAACGCAGGGTAACGATACTCTGGTGAAAGCAAGACAACAGTCCAAGTTCTATGAAATATTGCTCCAAGGGCTTAGCGTACGTCGCACTCCCGTTCTCTCTGGTTGCTTGCTAACGTCCATTACGATCAGAAGGGTACTCACCATACGGCTCATATGAAATTACAGCAGGAGATCGCGCATTGGGCCTATTTGGAGGAGGACACGAGAAGGAAAATTGTCTCTGCTGGACAGGGAAGACGTTGATCAGTCGTGGCTCATTTTCCCATTGGAATACTTCTATATACCTTCTCTTCATGTTTGGAATAATTTATAGTTGAATTTTTGTTAAGCCTCGCCGTCGTGGGACCAAATATAGCCAAGCTCAAAAAGGCTTGGCCAAACGAGGCGATGTCAACTCTTGCCCAAAACAACGAAGCCACCAACTGCAGGTCCATTCCAACTGCAACAACGTATTCAGGACTTGTTACAAGACCCTTTCCTCTTGCGTCTACCATCATTCGCCATGGCTGTCAACACGGCTACACAACCTATCGTTATCCCGCCTTCAACAGCGGAAGAGGAAGGTACTATCCGCCAATTCCGCTCGTGTTATATCTGTACATTTACATGAACACTTTACCAGATCAAATTATCCTCGCTAGAATAACAATTGATGAACGGCCTCTGCGCCGTATGATCAAAAGATTCCACAGTTACACTTCGCTGTCCCATAGCCCGATTATCCCGGCCCTCACAGGCGGTGCAGCGACCCCGACGTCTGTAGAAGATGCCAGAGAAGGATTTTTGGTGGAGCTGGCTACATTCCAACTGATGCTAAAGAAAAGTGTGATGATTTGCGAGGCCGAAGCACGTCAAGTCGAGGAATATCAACGGGAACGACAAACTCTCGGTATGTTTGCTTTCTTCGTTTTCGTTGTACCAATGGAACTCATTGGCTGGAAGATGAGGAGCATGAAACGCTCAAATCTCAAATTGAGGAGCTCAAAGTTGCCTTGGAACATGCGCAAATGCTTCGCCGGAGAAAAATCGAGTACGACGCCGTGGCGGAGAAGGTTAATACATTACCCAGTAGGGAGGAGCTTGAATCGTCAGTGTTTCTTATTGTTCGAGCACCGTCAAGCATCTCACATGTAGTCAGAACTATTACATCTCTTGAAAACGACATGGCGGCCATCCGAGCCGAGCATGATACCCAGAATCGCACAATACAAGGCCACAAGACTGCTCTTGACACTATCGTTGCCGACCTAAACACCTTGAAATTCATGGGGAAAGAACCTGAAACCTCATCCGTTCCTCAGTCAGTCCGAACAACACCTGCACCCGACAGCGAACCACAACCGCGATCGGGAGAAAGCAGTCTAACTTCCATCAATACTGAAGAGGCAGAAGAAGAAAAGGAAGAGAGGATGGTGATCGAAACAACGATATCAGAGGGCGAGACTGTGATGAGTGAAGGAATGATCGAGGAAGAAGACGACATTGAGATGGGCGAAGTGGAGGAAGACCCCCGAGACAAAAGCAAAAAGAAGACTCTACGCGAAGAAATGGAAGAGGGCGAAGCCACCGATGCAAGCAGTGAACTTTCAGAACCTCCTGACGATTAATATGTATTCTATATTCTTTCATACGACATGTTTTTATGTTTCGCTCAAGCCTAGTTCCATTGTCATTAAGTCAGTTGCACAAGCAACACCTTGCCCAAACTCAGAGGCCGCCAGTTGCCCTATAGTGTCCATTATATCTCTCGACTGTTCAGAATTGTCCCCGGGATAGCGAGCCGAGAAGTGGTTAAGAATTAACCTTTTGGCCCCAATGCTTTTACCGAATGTCCCAGCCATTTGGGGGGTGGAGTGGCCTCTTGACATGGCTCTTGCCTGGACAATTTCGTACGTATCCGTATCTTTCGTGGCTGGGTCGACTCCCGGAAGGTGCGCATTCGTAGCTTCGTGGACTAATAGATCCGCATCTTGCGCAAGGGCCGCTATTGGTGACGGATCGAAGGTATCCCCAAGAATTACTATTTTTCGACCCTTTCTGCGAGGAGGTCCATGGAGGAGGGTTCCGTCTTTCAGAATCACTGTTTCTCCTTGCTGTAGTTGGCTCATGACCGACATAGGCGTGCCAGTACGCTTTAACTCTGGTATGTATTGCGACGGGTTGATTTTTCCGGGAACCGGAGCTTCTTGGATAACGTACCCTAAACAGGGTACGGAATGGTGGATCGGCGCAGCCGAGACGGAAACCATGTTGTCCTTGTAGATGTCCATCCAGCAATTGTTAACCTGGTGGATATTGCGCCCGAACGCACATTCGGCCAATTGAAGTGGCATCGTCGTAAAATCACCGTCTGAGGGATCGGACGGAAAGCGAAGCTCATGTACGACATAAGATGCGCCAAGATTCGTATATGTATACGCAAGGCCACTGCGCACATAAGCGCGCGTGCCCAAAGGACCGTATATTTCGAGAGCCTAGATTGAATGAGTCCAGAGATTCGCCTAATAAGCCTACAAATTACCAACCGCCGAAGTGGTGTCGATGTTGAGTCTCGGGTCCTCCTCACCTTCCGCTACTCCACCGGAGCCGTTTAATAAACTGGCCATCAAAGCTGTAAGCCCGAATATGTGATCTCCTGTTCACATACTGAGAATTATGATAAAGTTAAGACATGTATACATTGCGCACCGTGAGTGTGAGTTATGAAAATCTTCTCAATCTTGCCCATTTTCACTGTACTTTTCTGGAGTTGGTGTTGTGTCGCCTCCCCGCAGTCGAAAATCCATACATCTCTTCCGAGCCGCAGAGCAAGCGCCGAGTGGTTACGAGTTGAGGAAGGCTGCGCAGATGCTGTCCCCAAGAACGTAAGTGCGATGGAACCGATGGAGGCACGCTCAAACAAAGGTCGCACGACAGAGGACATAGTACTGACTGACGGAAAAGGGAAACAAGGCCCGGGAGCAAACAGGCTAAAGCTTGGCGGCAATCTCCGCGAGGACATCTGGGAACTAGATCTCCGCCGCACCTATATGCCTTCCTGGAGAGGGTGAACTGGGCCGGCATAATAACAACTTGTCTGTCGGAGCTGTTTTGTGCTAGACCCACATTAAAAGTGGGTTTCAAGTATTCGATTCAGTGGGCTTCAAACAAAATATGCCAGTGTCCCGACCTCGCATCCTTGACAAAGGTCCTCCTATAAAGAAAGGAAACTTTCGGGGTTTTTGTTACCAGTCCGTGGGAAGTAGACTGGAGTTTTTCACTAAAAATGAGATTCTGGCTTCGTGTACGTCAGACGTGAGACGTCTGACATTGCTGAAGTTTGAACGTAGTGTCCTATGAACATTACCTGTTTCTCCCGGATAAAAATTAAATTGTCGGTAGCATGAATCGAACATGCGGCTCCTCGGCCACAACGAGGTGATTTAACCCCTAATCGATACCGACGATACATTGAAACAGCCAAATTAGACTCAGAAACGGGGTAGGAGAGATACTTCCGTTACCAAGAACGTGACATAATGATCGTAATGATGATCGGGCTCGGTTAGTTGATGGCCGGACTGCGGGTTCGGGATAAATAGACGCCGGTGAAAGCCCGTGTAAGTACATACATATGTACGCTCGCGGGGTGCTCTCGCACGCAACGAGTAAGCTACAATGCTGCTGCTATATGGCCATTCTGTATACGTCTAGTGTATATGTAGCTTCAATGAAATACAACGATTTTTCCTCGATCTGGTGCTGCCGTGGTAATGCATCAGGAAATGCGGAAAACCACCTGAGCCATCTTGGAGCCATCAGATATCTAGATTGAATATTAAGCATTTACTTATTAGATCCTCGCAAGTCCTCACACCGTGACCATTGACATGCCAAACTTTTAGGATCAAATTTCAGGCCCTTCAGCTTCCTTCGTCAATAGACCGCATGAGTGAGCGAAAGCAGGTTTTGATATGAAAACTTGATTACTTATGCAGTGTATTTGGCACATGGCAAGTTGGAGAGAGTGCTTAATACTTGTTGTGTCATACAATAACAAGAATATCCTATACATTTCATTATACATGACTGTGTTCTACCGGACAAAGAAACTGTCAATTCATTATCTTTCAGGTACTTGATACAGTAGGCGCCAGGTGGGCGGGCTGATATTCTATAAATAGATTAATCTTGGTCGGACCGCGGATGATTCGCACAAGTTTGCCACTGTTCGCCACCAACTTTTCCCTCCTAAGCTTACAGCGACCGCAATAGTACCGAGTAAGAGAGCCGTTACCTCATATGAGCTGCGTATATTTATTCCAGAGTACGACCAGTAACATACCCATTTTCCCCAACCTCGAAGATGTGCGCTGCTTACGGATATCACATTTTGACCACCATCGCAGGACTCGTTCTATCGATTTATATCGTCTCCAAAGCTGGTTACCGCTCTCGCCGTGTACACAAAGGTCTTCCGCTACCACCCGGCCCTCCTGGGCTTCCTCTTATTGGAAATATTCATCAATTCCTGGGAAAGAGTATCGCAAGTGTGCTGGAGCAGTGGAAGGAGGAATACGGTATGTGCTTCCCATGAGTCAAATAAATCAAGACTTGATTTCCGGGATAGGCCCTATCATCTACATTCACCTCTTCGGAACTCCTGTCATAATTATTGGCTCGTCTCATGTCGCCAAAGAGCTGTTGGAGGGTCGCGCGCAAATCTATTCTGGTCGCCCTAATTTCATTCTGGTGAACCACGAGTATAAGCGCGAGTCCGAGGAATTCTGATTCTCAAACTTTACCCTAGGCATCCGAAGCTATGCAAGACAATATGATGTTGTCATTTATAGCCCCCAACGAACGCCACAGACGCCTTCGCAAACTCGTTGATGCACAACTGCGGCCCTCTGCCGTCACCGAATATTTTCACCCCGTCCAAGAGGTCGAAGTCCACAGACTGGTTAACAGCTTAATTGAAGACCCTATTGGCTGGAAATCACACATTGCGAAAGCTTTGGCCTCCATCGTAAGCTTTATTATTCTATACATTTACGGGCGAAGTAACTTTAGGCGCCGAATCATCAAAGATCATGACGACGACATACGATCGCGCCATCAAATCTGGCAAGGACGCCGAGCAAGTCGTCAAGAATGTGTTCAGGCTCAACAATGAACTTGGACTAGCAGTGGAATCTGGCAAGAGTGTTGTTGACTTTCTTCCTTGGCTTCGCCATATACCTTTTGCTCCCTACAAGGCATTTTCCAGATCCTACTTGAACTTCGCTGAAAATACATATAAGTCTCTTATGGATGAAGCTAAGGCCAATCTAGTAAGTTTTAAGAATAGATGGGTATGCTTTTCTCGATTAGTGGCTCACACACAAGTAGGAAGCAGGAAATCCTGCGCGCGGCATTGCTGCCCGTCTGCTCCGAAATCCAGAAGAGCAGGAAGCAAGCTATAGAGAGCAGTATTGGGGGCTTGGGTCTTTTTTTCTAGCTGGTTCAGATACCCAAAGCATTAGCTCGGAAATCCTTTTGTATGTCGACCAAATTCGTTGTTTTATTTCAAATTTTATCTATAATTTACAGCATGGCCCTCGCTACACATCCGCACGTCCTGAAAAAATGCCAAGCCGAGGTTGACTTAGTCGTTGGTCCAGATAGACTGCCAACATTTGATGACGAACCCTCCATGCCCTATATCAGAGCAACGATACGAGAAGCCTTTCGTTGGCGCCCAGTTGGACCGACTGTTATCCCTCATGCTACCACTGAGGCACGTAAATTGATACTATGTCGTAATGTCTATAATTAAATTACCGCCTTGACAGGACGATGAATACATAGGGTACTACATCCCCAAGGGTTCCATGGTTCTGCCAAACCTATTTTCGATGCACATGGACCCGGAAATATTTGATGACCCTGAAACATTCAACCCCCAGCGCTACATAGACAACCCGTCACTCCCTTGCCATACCTTCGGATTTGGACGCCGCATATGTCCAGGTCGGCGCATGGCGGAGGCGACATTTTTTTTGAAGCTCGCCACAGTTGCTTGGGGCGTAGACATAGAGAAGCAGAAAGACAGTAGCGGAAAGGAGATGGATATTGACACAGACAGAGGGCAGGGTTTTACGCTTGGGACTTTCCTGAAGCCAAAACCTTTCTCAATATCTATAACCTCGCGATCGGCTGAGCGCGCGAAGCTTCTGGCCGCTGTTGTGGACGATGAAGGACTCTGACTGGTTTATAGTATTGGGATGCTTTGACCGGGCTTCCGACCTTCGGCATTGGAATCAAATATAGAGAAGCATTCCCTAGACAGGCCTGATTTGGGGTGTTTAGCCTTCAGAGAATGAGCTTCACAATGAAACCTTACTTCAGATATAATGGCTGAACCTCTGATTTTAGGCTGTCAAGGAATATCTGCTTTATAAAGATGAAATCATGTCACTAGCTTACTGGAATTGAGGCAGTATTATGATTATACATTACACCTATCTAAGTAGTCGTACGCACAGGAGATGTCACGCCAGGCCTTGGGACAACCTGCATGAATGAACGTCTGAATATGCAGGTGAGAATGTATGATTTTGAGTACACGAGAAATATCAATCACCTATTCAAGACTAGCCCCTTCAAAGCTCTGATCTCCTTGCGCAATTCTTCCTCGAGAGAAGTTTGGCCATTAGCTTGAAAAACTCCTGTCCCGATGGCTGATGCCCTGTAGGGCATGTAAACTTGAGTACTCAAGTAGCCTGTAAAGTCCGACATTGTCTTCAGAGTGTGTTGAAAAAGACTCTTCCGCGATTTGCCATCTTGCGGAAGTTCGGACGCAAGTTCGTCCAGTGCTTTTGATAGAGGAGGTGAAGCGACGGGCGCCGGTGGAAGGTACTCCCATTGATTCAGTAGGGAGGGAGCTTCCGATGGGGTAACTGACGGAGAAGATGCCGTGGACTTTTCAAACAGAGGACAAGTAGTCAGAGTTTCCCACAATTGTTGCTAATTATATGTTAACTCCGCACGCCGCACCGGATTCAGTTTGACACACCTCAAAATTAAGGCCTTCTTCGGTGAGCAGCCATGGTATCTGTTCTTCGAGGAACCTAAAAAGCTCTTCCGTCGTAGGTTTGTTCTTTGTATCTTTGATTGCGCAGCGCAACAGGGAAATCATCGGCAATTTCGCGAAATCCTGCTCTTCGTCTCCGTTGCTAGTAACTTTGAGAATATCCGCCACCGACTTGCACCGGGAAAATTGCTTTGATTCCTTAAATGGATCCGAGTGTGGCAAGATCGAAAACGATTCGGACTGTGCCTCCTTCAAGGATGAAAGAGATGTGGTCAACTGCCGCAACAGTGCTAGCTGATGTGACTTCAAAGAATTCTTTGCGAGCCAAGTTTGCGTAATCCTAGGCAGCAAGAAGACCTACAGACACGCAAAGTCAGCCATAGGACCTATAGAGTTATCACTGTAACTCACACGATAGAGAAGTAAAAGAGCAGCTGAACCTCCTGCCAACCATGTGAAAAGACGAACTATGCCGAGCAATAGAACTGGCAAATTCGAAGGCGGTGGCTGCGGATACGTCCTCGGAGGAATACTCGGGGGATTCAACGGCTGGAATGATATGTTCAGAGTTTTATATACATTGAGTAGGTAGGGACGAACTAGTGTATGTAGAAGTTTCTCGATCTCTGCCTCGCTGAGTCCCTTCTCCCTCAAGAATGCGCGTTTGGCTGGGAGATCCTGATTTTGAACCTGCGGCGAGACCAGGAATGAACGCGCTCTGTCCAGGAGTTGTTCTCTATTCGGAGCTTCAGTTGGTGTCTGCGCCGGGAGGAGGGATGCGGATGCGGATGTTGAGGCCTGTTTTTGCGTGGTAGACACTTGACCGTTCACTTGGGATCCCACAGAGTTATTGGATGGTCCTGGTTGTGAGGATGACTGTTCAGGCGGTGTAGATTCTGCAGGTTTTGGATCGTTGGACATGGTGGAGGAAGGAGCGGCCAGGAGTCGCGCCTCTTGGCATCTCCCGGGCCGACCTAATCATGCCTAAATCATGCTCGTCCGAATTTAGATTTTGCCACTGTTGAACAAGCTCCACACACACAAAGATAGCACCCAGCACCTGGGAAAACGCAGACGATATCATCGTGGCGATTCTCAGCAAAAATGGTTCTTACAGTACGGATAACATGCTGTCGACTATCTGGCTTGGAGTCACAAGTATAATATTCATCCTCAACTTCGTTCAAGGCCAACTTCACCCTCAGAATCCAGCGAAATACCAGCCCCTTCCGTTGCTTCGTGAGCGGGCCGCAATACAGAACCAATGGACTGCCGATAGGATATCCAGAATACCTTCTTTGCTGAAGAAGTACAATGCACAAGCATGGCTGGTGGCTCGTTTCACTATTTCTCTTCGAAGCACGTTTTGACGCAGCGCCACTCCTAGCTT